TGCATTTCCAACAGGTTTTGAATATAACATCAATTAGTGCTTAAAGTTATCTATTATAGCTTGGCTGACTGTGCCTTTTATCAATATGAAATAGCCATTTTTGTCACATTCAGTGTTAGTTTGCTTGGCTGAAACATTTTAAAATACAATATTCATATGTAACATTGCTTCCATTTTATTCATACTTCATTGGGATGTCTTAACCCAGCTCTCTTTCAGTCTTATTTTCTTTTAAGTGTGTCTCATAAATATCATGTATCTGGATTTTTACTCTTTTATTGACTTAAGAATAAATTTATGTGTTAATTCTCCAGGGGACTTATTCTTCTTATGGTGATCTGTTTTGTTGGTCTTTATAATATTTAGATATTGAATTTGCTGCATAATAGAATATCTAATATCAGTGACTTAAAAAAATGAATGGGATATCTGTTAGTAAAAAAAAAAAAAAAAGGGAGGGGTGAGGAGAAGATTGGGTATGGATGCACAACCAAACTCATCCCAGTCCAGGTTCTGTATCTTACTGGAGGGGCAGAATTACAGGGTTATAAATTTTGGGAGGCATGGATGTAACATTGGCTCCTCCAATTGAGCAAGTTAGTTTTTCTAAATTGGATTTCATTCTTATCATGTGAATAACCTCCTTTAAAGTATGGTAAGGAAACCCTGGTGGGTTGCTCAGTGGTTAGAGCATTGGCCCTCGGAATAGAGAGACCCGGGTTCAGTTCTCCTAAGGGCCTGTACTTTGGTTGCAGTTTGGTGGCAAGCAGTCCATGTGTCTCTCTCATCTCACATCCATGTTTCTCTCTCTCTCTTCCTCTTTCCCTCCTGCTCTATCTGAAGATGAATGTGAAAATGTCCACGGGGGAGGATTAAAAAATAAATAAAGTATTGTAGGGAAAGTTATATGATAATGCATGTAAACCATCAGGGTGTATAAGCACTGACCATTAGCTGATATTTCAATTTCTGATGCTTTATTTTTTTATTACTTTTATTTATTGTCTTGTATCTTTGACTTGGATAATTCCATTCTTAATACAATAGCCTAGGCACAGCAGGTAAACCAAATTCAGAAGAAACTTACCATTCTGTATTCTCTTTGTATCTCTGCACATTTTATACCTACATCCTTCTCTTGCACGAGGTCTTTTCACACCACCCTTCTTTCCTTCCAGAAATTGAACTAATCTGGCATTCAGTTCTACATTGCTGTTTTGTTTTTAGCATTATACACCTGTAAAGATTATTTTTTAAATATTTGCTTTAGGGTCAAAAATTGCATTATTTGTACCTTTCATTAGGCACCACTTTTATCTTTCTGGTTTGTTTGTTTCTCTTGAGTACTTCCCATATTCATTTGCAAGGGAAAGTATGGGTGGCATAATCTCTGAATCCTTGAATATCCAGAAATGGTTTTTATCTTGCTCTCACAAGTGAACAACAATTTGGTTGGAGGTAGAATCCTTGGCTTTGCAATCCTTTTTTCTAAAATCCCCGTGAGTGTTGTTTTCAATGTCTTCTAGCACTGATGGCTACCTGCTTATTACTAAGCTCTTATCTCTCAGCTCCAAATCCACCTGCTAGCCTCTGCTTTGTGATGTGAGGCCAGGACTCAGCAATTACATGGATTTTTTGTGAGCTCCCTTATGCTCCTACTTAGGCTTTGCTGACTTGGGGTACAAGAGGAGACGGGACTGGAAGCAGGGGGGGGGACCTGCTCCTTTCGTGTTTTGTGTCTGTATTTTTCAGCTTCACCTATTCAATGGCTTTTGACTCCTATAGCAGTCAGTACTTGAATAACTATTGGAAAAAGGATTGCTAATTTTTGTTTCCAACACTGCCAGACCGGGCTTACAGCATCTCCTCAGAGGTACCATCACCAGCCAAGCCGGGACCCCTCAGTCCAGGCCTGAATCTCAACTCCTAAGGGTACCTCTTGAAAGATGATAAATGTTGATAATTCTGACCTCTTTGTGTTGATCTCTCAGTCAGTGTTGGGGTGCAGCTTCTTGCAGTCATGACATCTGTGTTACCTTCACATTCCCTTTTTGCCTTTCAAATCCTCCAACACTATTTAACAGATTTTTAGAATCTCAGGAGAAACAGTAATTGTAATTTTTAAACGTTTAATTACACAGTCTATGTTCACTCTTTCATTGAAGGTCATTTCATCTGTTTTTTCTGCCTGATCCTTCTATTTTCTTACACTTCCCATGTAAATGACAATTCCCTATTGTCTGCTAATATTCATCAGTGAAGGTTTAGAGAATTCATAGTGTCCTTTGATAACCTCCGTGACTGCTGTTTGTGTCCTGAAGATACCCACAATTATCCGCCAACTAACCTGGGGATTTAAGCCCCACTGTGGAAATCAAAGCCTCAATTTACTGTGTATTTCCCCACACAAACAACCCTGGGGGATAATGCCGTGGCCAGCAACTCTGCAAACGAGGCTCTCTCGGGATGAGGTCTCAAATTCTTCAGTTTATTTTTCTGACTGCTTTCCAGAGTGTTTCTGAGAAAAAACAAACAAAACAAAAAAAACCACAAAAACATGTTGCTGCCAGCTCAGAGGTCCCTCCTCAGCAACTGTGTGGCTTCAGAGAGCCTCCTCTAGGCCCCTCTGTCTTTGTGGCTCCAGCTTCGATCTGTGCCTTAGGTAGAAAGCTTTCTAGATTTTTCCATGTCCACCCAAGACGTCTTCTCAGAATTATTCCCCACATCTGCCTGACTCCCTAAACAGTGTTCATAAACTTCTGGTCCCAGTGCCTTCTTTTCATACGCATTTTGCTGTTTGTTATATATTATTTCTGGATAATGTTCTTTGGGTTTGTGACACGAGGTTTGTATTGCTCTCAGTTTCAATAAAACTAAAATTTTCTTCTTTTTTTTATTTTTTATTAATTTCTATGATCTGGAGGGTTGTAAACATAGGGCCTACCACCATCGTCTGGAAGCATGTCAATCTATGATTTATACTTGAAGAATCACCTATGAAATGTAGTAAGCGAGAAAAAATATATTCATATGTAAAGAAAAGAAAAAAGATTCCATTAAAAACTGTCTTAATAATTATTAATATGCTGATCTATAAATGTCCCCATATCCACTCCCAGCATTTTTCCTGAGCTTAGCAATATCTCATCAATACTTAATTTAGATGTTGAAGTAGGTGTCAGTAACTCCAGTGTTTTAAGTGAGCTGCAAACTGCCACTTACAAAGCAGGTAGAAGAAACCCAATTCAAGCTCTTAGCGTATTACCCAATCACATGTACATTAGGGCAAGTTGGAAATAGAAAAGGATTTTTGGAACAAGTTCTGTTGTTGCAGAAGTGTGGCAGTATATCCTCTCATGTCAAGCCTAAAGAAAGAGGCTTGTAAAAGACCACTCAGAAATTTCAATTTGCATCTCTTGGAACTTTGAGGACACCTTGAATCAACATCTGGCTCACCTCTGGTAAGGGACTGTCTGGCGAGCTGCCCAGTGCCGGAGAGGTTGCCGCACTGAAGATAATCTCTCCTTTTGGTGTTTGTTGAGGCAAAGAATGACCATGTGAGAGCTCTTCTTACCTGCTCAACGAAGTATCTGGAGGGTAAGGGTTCCAGCAGAATATTAGAGGTGGTGTATACTGAGGAAAGATCTGTCAAGATTTGTAAGCAACCAGTGAGAGAGATGCTTTCATCCAGTTCACGGGAACCACAAACTGGACACATAGCAATGAAATATTATCAAGACTGTAATTCTTCTGCCCCTTCCCCTTGCATTTCTGATCCCCTTTACTTTGCTCTACTCCATTTTCCTACCATGTGTCTTCTAATATACCATAAGGCAGGGATCTTTGGATAGGTTGTTCACTGATATATCCCAATCTCTAGAATGGTACTTGGGTCATGATAAGTACTAAAGAAATAGTTGTTGAATGACTTGAATTGGGTTCTCCAAAGAGCATTGGAAAAACTCATGAAAGTAAACATTCAATACCTCCCATGCAGAGACAGCCCCAGGGTGAGAACATAGTGATCCAAACCAGTCAAGTCCAACATTCCCAGCTCTGATCTTCCCTTGCTGGTCACTACTCCACACTGACCTATAATTCTGCCAAGGCCATAGATAGATAGCCTAGTCATTGGGCAACTGAAAACCCCCAAAAATATTAATAGAGAAGAAACTGACCTCTTTCTTAGTTCAGTCAGTTTGCCCCAGGAATACCTGAGCTGGAAGAGTGTCAAGCTTTAATTGTAAATACAATTTATTTTTTATTATTTATGTTATTAATACTTCACTGAACATATTAAAGAAACAAATGATTGGAAACTGGAAGTAACTGGAGGAACATTTAGTTACCTAAAGTTGACCTGAAAAGTCAGCAGGGTTGTGAAAAATTTCATCTAAAGGCATCAAGGCTTTTGGATGGGTAAATGTCTAATTCTACAAGCTTTGCTTATTTTAGAGACCAGGTACATTGGCAGATTAAAAGCATTAATTTTTCTTGCTGTAGCACTATCCCTCCTGTCAAAATTCTGACCATCTTTTACATGGGTATGTTTGGGACTGTTTCTTCTACAATTCAACTCCAAAATCTATTTCCAGTAGTCCTCATTTGCTAGCATGTAATAAAGTACATAATTTATATTAAACATTTAATAAATGATTGATGAGTGAATGAATGAATAAGTGCTAAGAATTATTGAGATTAGAAAGTTTTAGGAGCAGAAGGAAGGACGAACTATTACGAAGTATGTGAGAGTTCAAATTAGGTAAGTAAAATGGGTGGGGTACAAAATCATTTATTGAATACCCTGTAAAGGTCTGATCAATTTACTTGAAAGAATTAATAAATAAATCAATTAATGAATACTAACATAAATGAATTGTGAAAATGGCTACATCTGTATAGGCAAAGTAAAAAGAAAATAGTTTTGTTGATCTGTTTATTCATCTATATTCATGTCAATAAAATAGATTTGTACATTTGTCTCTGTTTTATTTTTTCAGGTAATCCTTGTCTTTGTACTAAGCATCGGGTCCCTTATAATTTATTTCATCAACTCTGCTGAGTGAGTATAATCCCTAGTCATCTGTGTCTTCTATATCATTAGGTTGCCAGTGAATTTGGAAGTTTTTGTCAAGAAAAAGGGTTAATATACTTTCCAACACATTCACATACACAAGCTCATAAAAAAAGGATAAGTGTTTAGTTCCCCCCAGGAAGTACTAAAACCAACTCCACAAACATGCATGAATTGGCGTGCGCCCTGCAGTGCTGTATTGCTAGGGGCTGGGGTGCCCTACACATATGTCCTCCCTTGGCTCTGGGACTGGAAGCCTCCAGCTGTTGCCTCCTCCTATGGGCCAGTTAGGAGGGTTTTATATGCCTTTGGCTTCTTGAGAAGTTGAAGTGGAAGCTCTGTGGTCATTTCAGGGGTTCTGATAGGTTCCAAACAACGTTGGGTAGTCTTGAGAAAGGAAAGTGCTAGGCCTTACCTGGGATAAAAAGGAGAAAATTATTGTCTGCTCGTCTCTGAAGGCAATTCCTTCGTTTTGCCAAAGTGAGCATGGTTTCTTGAACAGAACTCAATTTCATCTGAATTCCATGCTGATCCTCTGTAGCTGAAGTAAAATTGGGATTGCAGGGTCACAAAAATCAGGCAGCTTTAGAGAATCCCTTACTGACCTTTTAAAAAGTTTTGTTTTTGTTTTTTCTTTTAAAATGTGGCTTGTGTCAACTCATTTGACTTAGAGTAGCTGTATTTCAGAAGGGTTCAGAAGCCTAAATTTCCTGCTAGGCAGATGGTCATGCAAACCAAGGAGAGCCATACAATGTCTAGGCCTCCGAACCCCTGTCGATAAAACAGAAATGGAAGCAATAAACTCTATGAAAGGAAGAGCAGGTACTTTTCCTGTTATTTTATTTTTTATCCTCATCTGAGGACATTTTCCCATTTTTGCTCAGATAGAGTGGGAGGGAGAGAGAGGAAGAGAAAAAGAGAGAGAAACATTGACTTGAAAGGGACACATTGAGTGGCTGCCACCAGCACAACCCAACCAGGGCCAGGGACAAGCTGCAACAGAGGTACATGCCCTTGGTGAAAACCGAACCCAGGTCTCTCTGGACTGCAGGCCAATGCTCTAACCTCTGAGCAAAACTGGCCAGGGCATTCTCCTGTTATTTTTAATCCCATGCACAGTCTAGTGGTTTTATTCATGCATCATGCATACCTCTACTCCCAAGGTAAAAGAAGTATCCTGAGATATGAACTTAAGTGTCTGGATTGACTATTCCTGGTGAATAAATACAAATATTGCCTTCCCTTTCTTTTTATTTGGTTCTGTGTAGACACAGCTTTTAAAATGTATGTCTTTTATAAACTGTCCATGTTTCTCTTCCAGCCCTGTTGGAAGCTGTTCTTCGTATGAAGACAAAACCATCCCTATTGATTTGACTTTCAATGCTTTCTTTACTTTCTATTTTGGGTTGAGAGTAAGTACCTGTTGGAAGTGGGGGGTAAACAGACAAACACAACAGGTACAACATAAAGAGATCTGTGTGTACCTTGGTTACACAGTTGGCCTGTTTTTTCAGGCTCTGCGCCCTAAATTGTTAAGTGTATAGTAAGACATAGTAACTCTCTCTCCTGCATCTGAAGCTGTAAATCAGGACAAAAATTCCAACACAAATGAAGGTTATTTCTTTTTAAAGTAGCATCACCCTGTCACACTGCCCTCCGTATTGGCTCCCCACCTACCATTCAGAACGCTTTACTAATTGTCACAAACCAGCAGAACCTGACTAACAAGCCTCTGAAAATATCCTTGGCTTCTCTGATGGCTACGTGCCATGTGGCTGTATAAAATACCTATCTATCTTTGTCTCATTTCTGTTCCACTCATATATGAAATAGTTCTCTCGCCCCACAGGCATTCACTGAGGACCCATCTGAGACCTAGATTCCAGTGTTTCCCATCCCAGTTTTTATATACATGTAAAAGATATGTTATGCATTTGTTTGTAACTTGTATTTCTATGACTGCCCTTCAGAATGTGCTCTGACCACACTGAGCATCGGAATCTGTTTACAGTGAACGCTCCCTTCTGGAAGTGCTTACTTTCTTAATCTAAATAGGGAAGCTCATAAACACGGGTCTTGGCCAGCCAAGCTTCTAGATAGCTACCTTTTCCATTGAAGGGCACCCTAAATCAGGTTTCTTTATTGCTCACAAATAGAGGGTTTCAGCTCTGTAATTATAAAGCTCTAGGAGCAGCAGGAAGGTCAAAGTATGAGGGTTAAGTTTGAGAAGTAAGTGTGAGAGTTAAGATCCAGTAAGTAAAATGGGTTCATGTTCATGTATTGCACATCTACTAAAGGTACAATCATTGTATCTATATAAATATATTATATATAGCTATATAAATATATATGTGTGTGTATATATATAGCTATATATTGATATATATAATAAAATTTAATGAAAGTGCCAGTTGATGAAATAAAATGTAGCTGAATAAAGCCACTATAGTGTTCACTTTAAAATTCTTAAGGGTAACAGAATTTGGGATCTTTTGTTTCAATTGCATAGTTTTTGGCAGCTGATGACAAGATCAGGTTCTGGTTGGAGATGAATTCAATTGTAGACATCTTTACCATCCCACCAACTTTTATTTCCTATTATTTGAAGAGTAATTGGCTCGGTAAGTATATTGTGGGAATCAGATACAATCTCTATAAAAAAGCCTCACCATTCATTCATAAGTATCCTTCATTTTCCTGTAATGCCTAAGTGCCATCTTCAAGAATTCCTCATTGTACTTGTATGGTTCTATAATATATTTTCAGAAACCCCCCTTTTACTTACCTCAGCACCTGGCAGTGTGATGCACTTGATGTGCTGCAGGTGTGGACGTTGGTTCTTTCTAATGCACTGGCTCACCCACAGCTTGAGAGGCAAGGCCCCAACATCCCATCCCCCTGTGGTCCCTTTGTGCTGGGACCCCACATGGACTGGGACAGGTGGAAAGCCTCTCTTGGTCTTTAAAAGCTATAAGTCATAATATCCCAACATATTAGAGTTATATTCAGTGGCTTAGTCTTTAAGGAGGAGGTATGGACACTGCATGGGAGTTACATGGCTTATACCAGTTTTATGTAATTTTATTATCTAAAAAATATTTCTAGCTTTTATTCTTATCAGACATAAAGGAAAGCATCAAACCAATGTGAGGAACATATCATAGACATTCTGTAGCCAGAAATTTATTTGTGGACAATTTGCTTTTTATTCTAAGGAAGAATTAATTAAAGTGTGAATAGTGCTTATTATATGCTTTCTATCAGCTCAGCAATACTATGGGGTAGGTACTGTTCGCGTTCCCATTCTATAGATGAGGAACTAGACAAGTTGAGGACATTGCTTTAGATTATCACAGCTATTAAGTGTCAGGGCTAGGATTTGAACTGGAGCTCACACTCTTAAACCTACAACATAATATATTATATTTGAGCACTTCAGGGAGAGAAAGATTGCATTCACTCCCGAGTGTGTTATACTTCAGATCGTTCTCTGGAGAAACCTCTTCTTTCAGCAGCTTTCTACTTTCTATTGCTTTCTAGGTCTAAGGTTCTTAAGAGCATTGCGGCTGCTAGAACTCCCTCAAATCTTGCAGATTCTGAGAGCCACCAGGACCAGGTAAATGCCCTTCCTCAAGGACTCCTCACTTACTGGTTTGGACTAGGAAATTAAAATGTGAACTACACCTTTCACTCATTTCTCATCAGAATTCCAGGGCAAAATCATGAAATCCCATAGCTCCCAAGATATCACTCGCTCAAGTTCTCCCACTGCATTAACATCACCCACTGGCTGAAAAGTTGGCAGTTGTTGTGAAGGTTTTGTTTCTTAGATTTGTAGAGCTACCATGTGTAAGCCCATTTAGGCTTTAATTCCCCTACCACCACCACCCACATAAGGAATCAAAAAAAGTCAGAGACTTTGGCTCTATACATTTGCTATTATGAATCATGTCTTTCCTGGCTAGGAACTAAGACAAGCCCTCTGAGCATGAGAGCTGTCATGTAGCCACAGTGAATTGCTGCTTTACAAATATCTAAAAAAAAATTTTTTTTTCCAAACTATCCTTGAGCAGCAATACTTCTAAAGTTTTAAGCAGTTTAGCCTTGTGTTACTCACTCAAAATCTCCATGGCTCTACATTCTCACTAGAAGCGTCAAATATCACAGGCCAGGTGGATCTCGCTGCTAAATGTTGACACATGATGGAGGAGACAAGATCATAAAGGCCCTTGTGTGATAGTTGGCCCTCCCTGAAAACCACAGAGATTTTAACTAAACACGAGGGCTTTATTCAGGAGACAGGAGCTTGTCTGATCCTCCTCTCTCAAAGACCCTGGTATGAATTTAGCAAGACGGAACTACAGTTCTCTAACCTACTCTATTTCATTTCGCAAACCCACTCTATTCCCGGGACACTTCAGTTTGTACAATTACTTTATGCAATATAGCAATCTATTAAATTTATGTTATGATGATATGCATATCATATGCTTTTAAAACCAGTATAATATTTGGCTAGTGGATATCCTAGCAATATCTGAACAAGCATGTGTAACGGGGTGTATTTTAGAACTGTGTACCTTTAACTAGAATGTGTGTATGAATCAAGCAGAGGATCTTTGACACCGCAGATCTGTAGCTAGGGTGGGGCCTAGGATTCTGCATTTCTAATACACCACCAGGTAAGTGTATTATTGCTTGAGGTCTGTGAACCATACTTTGAGTAGCAAGATTTTGGAGGATGAGGTATTTGTGTTGTTCTGGAAACTGTCAGAATCCAACGGCTCTTTGTCTTTCTTCCTCTAGCAATTCAGTGAAGATCTCCAAACTGATATCAATAATTCTCAGTACCTGGTTCACGGCTGCAGGATTTATTCACCTGGTGAGCATCTCATCAAACTCTAATGTTGCCAGTCAGCATAAATGTCTTTTCTTTAAAAAATGAAGGCAATGCTTCCGAGCTCCTGTCTTCATCACTGTAACTAGTGTGAGGTTTATCTTTTTATTTCCTTTCTCAGGGTTTTCTCCACCCCCATATTTATGACAAATTGTCTATCTCCTACACTCAAGGTATCTATGTTCCTTCTTCCAGCTTTCAAAACCTATGCTCAGAAAAGAATCTAATAAAGCTTACCCTTCAAAGGTGTAAGCAATATGGAAAATGTATTGCTGAATCTTCATAAGGGTTCCAGCATTTTAAAAAAGAATAAATGAATGAAGCCAGTGAGAGAATTTCATACTTATAAGTTGGAGAATGTGTGTGTGTGGGGGGGGGGTGCTGAGTTGCAGAGGGGAGCTTTGGGAATTTCTTGGTTCTCCTGAAATTAATCTTTACACATAGTTGCCTCCTTTGCCTATTAAAAAAGCTGGTTTTTAGCTCACATTAATCAGCAATATAATAAATGGACTTCAATAGTAGGAAAGAAACTCCTAGACTTAATGCTCAAGGACAGTTGAGGAGCAGTCATTAGAATATGCAGAAATTGAAGTGGGCTGTTAAAAGCCTGCAAAAAGGCCTTTGAGAAAAGCAAAGCAAAACAAAAACAATAGCAGAAGTCATTTTCACGTGAGTCCTCCTCTCAAAATTAATTAAAACGACAGAAAAAAAAGAAAAGAAAAATGTTGAGCACCAAATGCAAATGGATAGGAACCTTCAAGAAATCTGAAACCAGCTAAATCCTTTCTCAGCACCGAAGCAAGGAGAGAGATTCCCCTGAAACAAAATGTCACCAGCAGTAAAGGCAGTTCCGTGGATCTGCAAGACTGGTCCTGGGGGCATGGGCATCCCATGGGAGAAGCAGTCATCAGTGTCCTTGCGGAGACCTGTTGGCCATCAAAGAATGGTAGGAAGAGAGTGCGAAAGGAGAAACCCTGGTAACAGGACCTTTTGCCTTCATAAGCAGTTCTAATAAGGGGCTCTCGGGCTGAATGTGGCCTATAGTCATATTTTATTTGACCTAATTATGTTTGCATTTTATTTTCCATTTTTTACTGCTTGCTAACTTTTATGTAGAACTCACAATAAAAACACAGATTTGTTTGTGGATATTTTTGAAAATAGGAGGTTCTGGCAACTCTTTCTACCAAGGCCACCAGTAGTCCTAGTGGAAGACGAGCTGCTCCCTGTGAACAGCATGCACTCCTGACTCGAACACAGTCTCTGCCGGTCTTACTTGAATCGCTCAGGTTTTTGCTTTGCTCTCCCAAGCGTGTGAGTATGTGTCCTTGTTGGCCGTCCAGCCACCCGGGCAAGGAGAGCTCCAGGAAGGATGCATGTAGAAAGGAGGAGACGCAAACACACGGCTTGTGACTTAACGGGATCTACTGTAAGTCACACCACCATCTGGAATGTTAAAAACCTAGAAGAGCTATATTCCAGAGCAAAGAAAAGAGCAGATTCTGTTGAGAGGATATTTGAAATGATAACCCAAAATAAAAGCTATGATTGTCCCAACTCCCCATCTTCCCATACTCACAGCTAAAAGTTGATACCATTCAAAGGTGAGTATTACAGAAAGTAATCAATACGGTGCCTATCCTTAAATTCTGCCAGAAAGAACAAGGGAGCATGATGGAGAGCAGACATCAGTTTAAAAACAGTTACATAATATAGCAGTTATAAGAACAACAATTACTAGGTAATTTGCCCAAGGAAACAAAAATTAAGAAAAATCCCCTTATATTTGAAAAAAACAAGAAAAAAATACAGGGCTTTAAAAACTGAAAATGATAATTCAAACAAAACATATAAGATTTTAAACAGTAGCAGGAGTTGAAAATGGGCTGAAAGATAAGAAAGAAAAAGGAAAAAGTAATACAGAGCTGAAACCCACATTAGGGAAAACCCAAATTGAACACATGTGACAAAAACATGCTCAGACACATGGTGGGCAGGACTGAGACAGAAACACGGGCGTGGAAAAGAACAAAGATGCTCAAGTGGTCGCTGGGGAGAAGCGTGGATGCTGGGCCCGGCCGGGTCAGCACACTGTTCAGTTGGTGCTTCTGAAGGAAGGACACAGAAAGTGGCACCAGAAAAAAATACCTAAAGTTCTGGATTTGTAGATGAAAGGGTATCCTGAATCCAGGGAAAAGTACTCCTTTTTTTTTTTTTTTCAACCGTATTTTGGAGCAGTTTACTGACTTTTGAGGATAAGGAGAGAATCCAAGTAGAACAAAGCGAAGTCTGTAAAAGGGGGAGAAAAATCAAACGAGCCTCGGATTTCTTGGCAGCATCACTCAAGACAGGAAGAGGATACAGCAGTGTCTGCAAAGTCTGTGTGAAAGGAAGTGCGACCTATCCTGTCACGTTAAGCACCCAAGAGAAAACAGCACCTATGAGTCGCTTTAAAATATGTGTCTTAATGATGAAGTCCAGCTACAGAGGAGATGAGCCAAAAGTAAGAACTCAAGAATGAAGAAACATTGATAAAAATTAGTGGTGGTGATTATCGAATGGCTTTAAATAGAACTAAGACATAATTAAGGGAATTATGGTTATAGACTAGAACACACATATACAATGTAAAAATAATACAACTAATACAAATGATTTGGAGGTAGGAGGTGGGAGAGTGAACTTCCATCCTCTTCTTCTTTAGCATATATAATCCAAAATTGAAACACACAATTTGAAAACATAAACATTAACATGCTTTGAAATAGGGAGTTAAAAGTAGATAATTCAGTATCATAACTGATTATTGGTCCATAATCCTTTATCTTACCTTTCACTTCTTTCCCATCTCGGACTGACAGGTTGAGGTCAGCATGTTAAGGAGGAAGGGCAAACTGGACAAGCCAACCAGCAGAAGGCTGCCATGTCTTAGAAGGCTGCTTGGGGAGTGGGGAGGGATTTGAAATATTAAATTAATGCTCCCAAAGAGAGTGAGTTAGACATTACATTGTTAAACTATTGTGAAGGAGATTTCCAGGTTGAAATAAATTTAGATTTAGTTCGTACATGTCGTACATGGATATGATTGAAACCATGTGCTAAGATGTTATTAAAAAACACTGTAAGGTCTTAGCTAAAAGGAAACTGTGCCAAGTAATGTGTGTGTGTGTGATTTAAACTTATTTTAAAAAGATAGATAGATAGATAGATAGATAGATAGATAGATAGATATAGTGCAATAGTCTCAGAAAATAGTGAAGACTCTAGAAGCCAGTAGAAATAAATTAGTATGTTTTGCAACATAATCCACTACCAGCTATGGAAATTAAGTGTAGACATACAATGTCTTTCTTCTTTTGGAGTAGGATATTATAGAAGTTCACACTCATAACCTACTCATCAAACTTAAGAAAGGGTCAGCACTGGGCATATAGCTTTTAAAAGGTGATCACACAACTAAGCAAACTACATTATTTTTAATTTCCATTCCAGTTCTTAACAATAAAATAAAACAAAAAAACTATTTTCCCCAGGCATGTTTAGTATTTTATTATTTTTGTGTCAAACAGAAAAGGAATATGTCTAGGGAATATATAAGCTATCTGGAAACATGTCTAAAAGTTGGGGAGGGGGAAGAAAAATTGTATAGGTTCTATATAATTGCTATATATTATCTGAATTGAATTAAGAGATTTTGCCTATTCTTTACAAACGTTCCCTTGGATTCCATTCAGAGACCTTTCCTGAGTCTCTCTCTCTTTGGACAGGTGGAAAATTCTGGTGATCCCTGGATCAAGGGTAGAAATTCACAGACTGTAACATATTTTGAGTCCATTTACCTGGTCATGGCAACGACGTCAACTGTTGGCTTCGGAGATGTGGTAGCCAAGACATCCCTAGGACGGACCTTCATCATGTTTTTCACTCTGGGGAGTCTGGTGAAGAACATTTTCATTATCTTTTGAATATAGCTACATAAATTAAAAGCATTTGGTTAATGGTGAGAAACAAAGTGGTACTGGTTTGAGAGTGAATGTTACATTATTCAGGGGTCGAATAAAAAGGGAAAGATATGTGGATCCCATGTTTTCCCAAACGGACTCCCCTGGAGCACATGATGTAATTGTTTGTTGCCAGAGATGAGAATGGTCAACAAAGGAGAGTAGACTTTCCTTACTAGCCTGTACATTGATTTGCCCATCAGATTGAAGTTGTTCTTCCAAAGAGGAAGGACATTTGAGGTTTGATCTGAAGAAAGTTCTGTTCTTTCCAGCTCAAATGGGTAAGCTCTCCAAACCAGCATTTTACTTCAGATAAGTGAACATACATGTGTGGTTCAGGAGCGTGTGTCGAGGACAGTGGAAGCCTCCTTTTCTTTTAGTTTCTAATTGAAATTCCTAGAAAACCATACCAAGTCCTCTACTTCGCCTTTCTGATAGTCCACTGCTCACGTTGCTACATCCCCTCATTTCATTTTCCCTTAACTCTGCTCTGTCTCATCTGCTTTGTTTTTTTCTTCCAAGGCCCTAAATAATAGCAAGTCGAAGAATCAGAAGGGCGCTTTGGAATGATGAGGGGGCAAAATGGGTGGGGAGGTTGCCTTTCTGGTTGTCCTTCCCCTATCATTGTCATCATTTTGAATGCTAAAAAGCATTTTATTCCTTTTTAACCAAATGCAAAGGCTGAAGTAAGAAAGAAAAAAAATGGTCTCTCTTTAAAAATACAGGTCACAGCGATGCCCCTCGTAGATGAGAGAAAGTGTTGTGTACCTTCTTTCTCTTTTACACACTCAGAATTTTGGAGTGAGAGCCAATGTTGTATTTGCTGATGATTTTAGGTACTATTTGCAAACTACGTCCCTGAGATGGTGGAACTTCTTGTTAACAAGAGGAAATACACCAGTTCCTATGAAGTGCTCAAAGGAAAGAAGTGAGTAGCTTTCAGGTATAATTTCTATAGTTTGAGATATTCTGCTAATCACATTCCTTTCTAAACACCTGTTGCTTGGCCTAGGGGAACATATTGCAGGATCCTTTATTCACTAAAGAGGGTTGTTCTAAAATAAATACCATGAGATGATATTTGCTACTTGATACAAACTACTAAATAGATGCTCATAAGGGCATTAAGTCAACTAAAATAACAGATAATGTTGTCATTCACCATCAAATATTGATTGTGACAATGTTTGAAACTTCCTTATCACTAACTACTCTCTTATATCCATTACTAATTGTCTTATTCATTTTAAGCATGTGGTTAAATCAGGCTAATTTCACATAATGGATCAAATTAAAGCCACAGTTCCAATTTAAAATAATGAATTCAGTTGTCTTAGCCAAAGCTCCCCTAAACTGTATTCCTGGGCAGCGGTTTGCTCGAGTGAGGAGCAGTCAGCCCCTTCGCCACAGCTCCACAGATCGGCTTTCTTCATGCTTCAGTCGTTTGTTCCAGGAGCTAAACAGCTGCTTCAGCGTGTTTCTCTGCGGAAATATTTTACCTCAGTTTCCATTATGCTTGTTCACATCTAAGACAAAAAGAATGAATTGGAGATCTTAAACTTGAAGTGATTCTTTGTCATTTAGTCGCAATCCACTGTAGAGGAAAGAGGCACAATGGAGTAGATTCTCTTGGAGTGGTCTCTCAACACGGTGGATGGAAACCAAGACTGACCCAGGACTAAGAAAATAATGAAATGAATGAAAACAATGAAATAAACTAGATAAGGCAAAGTTCGATCCACTTTATCTCAGGAAAATGATATGTGACCCATGCTAAATCAGCCAGTAAGGTCTGGAACATGTAAGGTAAACTGAAGCTAAAAGTAGGCTTTTCATTTTCTTAAATGACTACTAGAGGAAAAAGTAGGTTAAAAAATATATATTTCTTATATACATTAAATATATATACATTAAATATATATATTTTTAGATATAATAAATATATATTGAATATATATAAGTGTGTGTGTGTGTGTATATATATATATATATAGAGAGAGAGAGAGAGAGAGAGCGCCTAAGGAAATTAACAACTATTTTCCACCATAAAAATTACATACTTGTAATTTTGCACCTGTCCTAGGTGTCTCTCCATTGTACTCACTTTTTTGTGACTACTAGATAATTGTAGATGTGGAAGATAAACACAGATAACCTAGATTCTAGCGGTACTTCAGCCATAGCATTTAACTCTGGGAAAATCAGTGAAATACTCTGAGCCTCGATTTGTTCCTCAGTGAAAACGACTATATCAGCCAATCAGGAATCAAGTGGAGAATCAAATCAAATCACACATTTACAAGTTATAAACAGCCATGAAAAACCTAGCAGTTATGTATTTATTGCTGTATTCCTAAAAAGCTATGTGTAATTCAGATGTTTGGAGTTAAACCCTGTATGACGTGAACTACTGATAATTTTTTTGTATTATAGAGACGCGGTTCTGGGTGTTTCTATTTTTCAAATCTGAGTGATTCAAATACCAAATTTACATAAAACTGAGTGTAAGCCAATTGTCCATCTCTAAATCTAGACAAGAAAATACTTCTGTTCCTCAGATGACCAACCTAACAAGTCCTTGCTGCCTAGGTTCATCGTGGTCTGCGGAAACATCACTGTTGACAGCGTGACTGCTTTCCTGAGGAATTTTCTCCGTCGTAAGTCAGGGGAGATCAACACCGAGATTGTTTTTCTGGGAGAGTAAGTGTATCTGTTTGGCTCATCAGCTCTAATTAATACTTGAAATATGTGTGTGAATATTTTTAATGGAAGAAGGTTACCCTTACAATATTCATAGAAAAATTAAGAAATAAGAAGCAAAAAGAAAAGAAAAAGCAATCTCATGATCAGTGTTAACTTCTGAAAAAATTGGGAATATATCTTGCCAGATGTTTTTGTGTATATGTACTATTAAGTTATTTCCTATCATTAAGGTTATTCTATACTTATTACCATTATATATTATATGACCATCATTTTGTGCACATGTCTGGTACACTTCATAATTATTATTCTAACTGTTAATTATCAGAATTGGAAATCTAAAGTGCAGATAGATAGATGCACAAAGGATTGTTTTGATGATGTTTTTGTCCTGTGCAGTTTACTTTTTCACAAGCAGAGTCCAAGTCAAATATTTTTAAAACACTTGGGCAATGCATATTTAATACAAAAAGATTCTGAAGTAAGCAAAATGATTTCTCATTGTTTTATTATATAATTTTGTTTTGTTTTGTTTTTTTAATCCTCATCCGAGGACATTTTTCCATTTTTTGTACAGACAGAGTGGGAGGGAGAGAGAGGAACAGAGAGAGAGAGAGAGAAACATCTCGATGTGAAGGGACACATCGAGTGGCTGCCACCCGCACGACCAACCAGGGCCGGGGACAAACTGCAACCGAGGTACGTGCCCTTAGCGGGAACCGAACCCGGGCCTCTCCGGACCACAGGCTGACGCTCTAACCGCTGAGCCAAACCGGCCAGGGCTATTATATAATTTTGGTTCCTAGTGAGATGAAACAATTTTTGTGTGGTTTGAAATTCCTCTTTAATTTATCCTCTATCCTATGAGGCTGGTCATCTATTATTTTACTGACTTTTAAGCACTCAGTGTATTTTAAATTAACTGTTTTGTGTCATAAGTTGTAAATATTTTTTCTCTCTCTTTGCCTTTTAATTTGTGAGCTTTTATTTTAATTTGGGAGTATTTGATTTATATGTTCTTCAATCCATCCACTCTTTTTCTTTTTTCTTTTCTTGGTTTCTTGTTTTTTTATATTCTTTGGCCTCTCTGTTCTAGGATTAAGTAAATATCCCTCTAATATTTCTATGTTTTCACATGGAATTTTTTTTATATTTAAGCTCTCTGGAATTGACTTGGTGTAATATGAAGGCAACTAACTTCTTTTTTTTCCCAAATGGCTAATCAGTTATTTAGATATCACTCAATAAGTCAGACAGATTTGAAGTGACATTTTGTTCTTATACAGGAATATATAAGGGATTCATCTCAACCTTTACACATTTTACAGTTAAAACAAAAACCTAAGCGTTGTCTTTGATACTCCTGTCTCTCTCAAACCCTGTGTATACTTTCATCAATATCATCAACTTTGTCTCCTAAATAAATTCTAATTCTATTTTTACCATTACATTTCCACAGTTATAACCCTGCTCAAAGTTAATATCTTCTCTCCTGAATTTCTGTAAAGGCTACTTCCTTGATAGATTCTTTTTGCTTCGAATTTCTTCTACCTTCATACAACCAGTTTATTTTCATCCTTCAGCACTCCGAGAGAGCTTCGTGACCTAACCTATCTAAATTAGTGTCTTCTAATCCGTCTGTCTCTTTACTCTGCGACATTTCCTTTAAAGTACTTATCAGCATCTATAATTGTGGTAGATATTTCCTTTAATGCAGCCATTAACATTTCCACCACTTACTGTGCATTCATGCTGCCCCTCTCAATAAAAGATGGAGTCTCTTTCTCCTCCCTTGGAATCTGAACTGGCCAGTGACTTGATTTGATGCGGCAGAGAGGTGACACTCTGAGGGTCTTAGGACTGGCCTTTAGAGGACTTGGCAGTTTCAACTTTCACTCCAAGAGAGTCCTAAGCCCTAAGCCATCATCTACGTCAGATTTCCTGGGAGAAGGCCCAGGCAGCTGCTCGAGCCAGGTAGCTGGGACAGCCATCCTGTGTGTAAGGTCACTTTGATCATTCCAGCGGCCCGTCAAACCCTCTGATGAGTGTACCCACGTGAATAGCCACAGCCAACACTGTATGGAATGACATTGCTGAGACCAGCCAACCACAAAATCATGAGAAACAATATATTGTTGTTTTAGGTCAAGAAGTTCTAGAAGGGTTTGTTTTTCAGAAACGAAAACTGGTTAGTGGAAGCGGGTGCTGTCATAACAGAAGCCACAATGTAGTCTTTTCCTTGGAACTTGTGCTAGTCAGAGGCTGGAAGGGTTGCATGGAGGTTCTTAGTAGAGGCCAGAAAAGCAATGAAGGAATTGCTATTGCGTGTTAGAAGAAGAGCAGAATTTTGGTAACAATGTCACCAAAAGTGACATGGAAGATAGAAAATGCACCAAGTGCAGTTTTGAAGCTGGCTAAAAAAATTTTCCAAAAGACTGTTCAGTGTCATTTGCCATCATATAATCGTGTATGGTAAGGTAATAAAATTGAACTGAAGAAGAAAGTCTTTAGTTTTCAGGCAGAACCTAAAACAAAATATAGAAGTCCCAGAGCAGTCTCTCTAGCTGACCAAAAATTATCAAACAGGAAAGTGACTTCAAGACAAAAAAAGAAAAAATCAAATCCAGGATGCCACCTATAAAATATGACCTCAAGGTCAAAGGTGAAGATCCAATCAAGGATGCAGCTGAAGACCCTTTGTTAAGACATCAGAAGGATTTAAGGTGGTGACTTATTAATGCTCCTCTCAGGCAGGAACAGGGCTTCTAGGAACATTCTTCCCAGAATCTTAACATTTTCCAACTACAGGTCTGTCACCAGAGAAACCACAAATATGACTTTGTGGGCATGCCATGAACCCGAATAATATGTATAGAAACTTGTCTGTATTTTAGAAAAAATTCACTGGTAAAAGTACTGCCAGCTTGGGGTAAAAGGGACAGAGAGAGTTCAAAGTGAAAAAAAAAAAAAGCCTCTGGACCTTCGATGTAACACAGGCAGGAATCAAGCTGAGAAAGCTACTAACGTACAAACATGGGACATTTATTAGAGAAAAGGAAGGAGGACTCAGAGGATCAGAGGAGAGAGACAAGAATCAAGAAGAACAGCAAATTAGCTCGTAAGGACAGAACTGGGCTCTAATGAAAAAATAACACCGTCTGGCCCTGGAATAGGGGGCCCAAATAATATGTGCTCAGATTGATTACAGAATTTCTATGTTCTATTTTCTAGTGATTTCTGCTCATTACCACCCTCACCTCTTTTGTTTGGGAATGTTTATTGCGAGTTTTCTGTTCCTTATCCATGGTATGTTGGGTGTGGAGATGAGGATAATAAAACTCGTCTCCAGTTCATCAGTCTTCAGATGAGGAGGAACTATACCAGGGGAGCCTCATCCGAATCTAGACCTGACTTAAGATGACAAAATTCAGGACTTTGACCTGATTGCTATAAAAAGATGAGACTTTTGGGGGACATGATGAGAGTATGCTATACAGGGGAGGGATGTGGATTTGTTTTTTTTCTGTTGTTTTATTTCCTTACCTGAGGACAATTTTCCATTTTGTTGTTCAGATAGAGTGGAAGGGAGAGAGAGAGAGAAACATTGACATGAAAGGGACACATCGAGTGGGTGCCACCTGCACAACCCAACCAGGGCCAGGGACAAACTGCAACCGAGATACATGCCCTTAGCGGGAACCGAACCCAGGTCTCTCTGGACCACAGGTTGATGCTCTAACCGCTGAACCAAACCAGCCAAAGCAGGATGTGGATTCTTATAGCCAGATGGATGACTGTGGTTTTTAAAAGGTGACTACTAGCTGTTTCTCCCAACCTGAGCTTCAGACCTATCCGAGGAATTAGGCTAGTGGTGTCAAAAAATCACCTAACCACGTGGGCTAATCATGAATGGAATATAGATGTGTCCAAGAAGAGATGAGAGGTTCTGTTAAATGCAAATAAATAAACAGTCTCTTAAGCAAAGTCAGTTATTTATTTATTTATTTATTTATTTTCATCTTTGGTCCTACATTCTTTGTCCAGGGTTCCTCCTTCTTTGGAATTGGAAACCATATTTAAATGCTACATGGCCTACACAACTTTTATTTCTGGATCCGCACTAAAGTGGGAGGATCTGAGGCGAGTTGCTGTAAGAACTAATTTTTTTTCTCTCCTTGTAGTTAGCCTCAGCTGCAACAATTAAGATGATAGGGTATGTTCTCTTTCAAAAAAATTACTCCAGACCCCCAAATTGGGGAAAATATGACTTTCTCAATTTTAAAAACGGATCATAAAGGAAATATAGTAATTGACTTCCAGTTTCTCCTTGACAAATATCAAGCAGACCTCATTATTTATCTACACTTATAGTTAAATTATTTATTTCACTAAATTCTCTATCTAGAGCAGTTTTATTTTTAGTCTAAGAGATCTGGAAAAATTATGGATAGCAAAAGTGTGTTTGATCTTACCATTCAGATGGGATTCTTACCAGAGGACAGATTTACCAACTTCTAAACACACTGATGTGCCTTCTGATAGGAGAGACATGAAGGAAAATAGCAGAGATCCCACTAAGGTTGGAACTAAAACTAATGATTAAAGGCCAACCCTCTAGACAGTTTTCATTTAAGATCAAAGCCAGCTTCTCATTTTGTAAGTTTCACAGAATCATATAAGCTAAAAGGCTTCAGTTTTTTAAAGCAGAAATCTGTAGAGTTAACGTAAAGAATTAAAGCAGAAAACGACAGACTCAGAATAATCTTTCTCTTTGCAACACTTTGGTCTTTATAAAACTTTGGTTTTATAAGAGCCACATCGATAATTTTCTACAATCTTAAGATTCAGAACCCAAGTTATCGAATGACTACCTAGTTTAAGCTAAGCAGACTTCCAGTTCCTCCATCCTTTGCTGTCCCGAAAGGCAAATAAGTATACAGGCAGTTGCTTAAAAAGATATTATTACTTCTCAGTAGGCATTAACTGATGGTTATGTTGGTAGGAAAAATATAACTATGCACTTGACTCATTTTAAAGCAATTAGCGTCTGTGTCGGAGACCCTGTGCCCTAGTCCATCCACTGAAGCCTCACAGGTCTTGCAGCATCTGCAAGGCTGTGATCCTGATGTCACTGCATCCTTATTACAACTCCTTCCCAAGTGTTTTCTCTTTCTTGTTGGAAATGTTATGAAAAAATATATATAAAAGAAAACCTAATAGAGGTACACTATAGCATTTCCCATGTAATTAACAAGATGGTTACTGTTCAATCTTGAAGAATAGGTGGAATCCGCAGAAGCGTGTCTGATTATAGCCAACCCTTTGTGCAGTGACTCGCATGCTGAAGACACTTCAAACATTATGAGGTAAGAAGCTAACACTGTTTCTATGCTCCAGTGCTGATTTATTTCTGCCTCTCTTAAATTACAGCCTGGTGCATAGGACTGAACAGAAGATGTCATGTATCACAGGTTCATCATATTCTAGGTTTCTTCCTATTTTAGTACGGATGTATGGAAAAGTAATTGAAAATAGAGTCTCTTGAGTGTCTTTCTGAAGTTTCATATCGATAATAGCTATCTAAATTTAAAAAGTAAGCATACAGATGACTGATAACTGTTCAGATAGCATTATTATAACTAACACCTTCTCCCCCTCAAAAATAGAGATGCTATTGGTGATACATGGACCCAATTAGTAGACTTTGCCTACTGGGGCTTTTTTCCAGTAGTTCTGGTGAAAGATTGTGCATGGTTCAGTGCGATGTGTTTGTGACTGCTGGGAATCGTTTCTAAGATGACGGGAATTAGTGTTCCCATCCTTCACTGCCGATGCCTCTGAGCAGGAACTTGACTTGTGGTAACAGGTTCAAACCATCCTTGTGAGGGCAGTGGCATTTTTTCTCACCCACATGCTCTTTTGGCCCCCAAGGCAAAATAAATACAAATAACTGAAGGTGACTCTACAAATAATAAGAAACAGCTGAGAATTTTTAGCATGCATAATACAGTAAATATGACACAGTCTTTAATTTCTTAATTTGTAAAATGAGAAAGCTGTTTAAGAGAGTCTGAGTTATTCCAAGCTACAGACAGTAAGTCAATCTCTACTTTTTCTTATAATTAATGTGTTTCATTTGAAGGCTAATATATACATATGAAACTGTTTATTTCCTTCTCAAGAACTTGTTTCAGAAGACCATAATCTCTTCATACCAAGAGCTGACCTTTCCATAGATTTATTTGACTAAGTCACTAAAACATCTGTACCTTTCGATGGGTATTCTACTAAACAGAACATTTTTAGAGAACAGCATAATAGTGAAACTTACAACATGCCACTTTATTATGCTAACCCACATATCAATTTAACTCTGAATTGAATTATATTACAATATGTGGCACATCACTGATGAGCATATCTGTTGTTTCTGTAGGGTACTGTCTATCAAGAACTATAGCCCTACCACCAGAGTCATCATACAGATACTTCAGTCCCACAACAAGGTATTGTAACTTTCTAGCCTATCTAGTCACCTTGTCTAGATGAACTTAGTTCAGCTAAGTAACAGATGGATTTATTGATGTGTTTACATGTGAAAGGTTTTGCCAAATGTAGGTAAAATTCAGAGTCTCATTAAGATTGTTAATCACTTACAAATGTAAATTCAGAAAGAAGTATATTTGCGTACTTTAAAAACTGCTGCTGAGGGTCTAAATTCCACTCAACGTGAATGTAGGTGAGGAATGACCTCTGCTTCGTGACACTCTACTGGGAACCACTAAGACTAAAAGAGGCTGATTAGACAATTACAAACATTTGAGAGACAACCAAGAGCTAGGTCAGGGTTGATTGATAAGGTTCACAAGGCCATTCCTTTAAGATTAGGAGAGGTTGATGTTTTTTCTAATGCATAAAACCAACACAGAGGGTCAAGGAAAATGAACAAACAGAAATATGTGTTCTAAACAATAACAACAACAAAACCAAGATAAAACCTCAGAAAAATGCCTTAATGAGAGATAAGTGATTTATCTGACAGTTTTCAAACTATCATTAAAATGTCACTGAACTTGGGAGAAGAATGTATAAAAAAAACAAGCGAAAATTTCAACAAAGAGGTAGAAAATAGAAAGTCACACACCTGAGGTATGCAATAACTGAGCTGAAAAATTCAAAATAGGGGCTCAGCCAGACTAGGTGGATCAGAAGACAGGATCAATGAACTGGAAGATGGAGTAGTGGAACTCACCTAACCAGAGCAGCAAAAAAAAAGAAAAAAGAATGCAAGTGAGTGAAGACAGCTTCAGCCCACAACATCAAGTGGACCGTTTGCACTATGAGTTCCACAAGGAGAAAAGAGAGAGAAAGAGGTAGAAAACTTATTTGAATAAATAATGGCTAAAAACATCCCTGACTTGGGGAAGGAAACAGACATTCAAATTAAGGAAGCCAAAAATTCAAAATAAGAGGAACTCAAAGAGACCCATACCAAAACACACTAAAGAGTCAAAAGTTAGCCCTGGCCAGTTTGGCTCAGCGGTTAGAGCATCGGCCTGTGGTCCAGAGAGACCCGGGTTCAGTTCCCACTAAGGGCATGTACCTTGGTTGCAGTTTGTCCCCGGCCCTGGTTGGTCGTGCAGGTGGCAGCCTTTTGATGTGTCCCTTTTGCATCCATGTGTCTCTCTCCCTCTCTCTTTCTCTCTCTCCCTCCCTCTCTATCTGAACAAAAAATGTAAAAATGTCCTCGGGTGAGGATTAAAAAAAAAATTTTTTTAAAAGAGTCAAAAGTTAAAGACAACCAAAAGTGTTTATTTGAGACTTTTTTTGTTTCTTGAGGTAGGTATTTATTGCTATGATCTTACTTCAATGCCAAATCTAAAAGTAAGAAAACAAAAAAACAAATCCTGAACTCATGGATACTGAGAATAGATTGGTGGTTGCCAGAAGCCAGGGATGAGAGTGGGCAAAATAGGTGCAAAGTGTCAAAAGGTGCAAACTTCCAGTTAAAAAAATAAATAAATCACAGAGGTATAATATACAGCATGGTGGCTATAGTGAATGATACTTTATTATATATTTAAAAGTTGCTAAGACAATAAACCATTACCAGTTATCATCACGAGAAAATAATAACCACTATGGTGATGAATGTCAACTAGACTTTATTGTTGTAATCACTTTTCAGTGTATATAAATATCAAATCATTATGCTGTACACCTGAAACTAATATAATGTTATAGGTCAGTTATACTTTAATAAAAACAAAACCCACCAAAAAACAAATAAACAAAAAAAGATTGCAAATTCAGAGTAGAAACAGAGGTCAAAGCCATTTGACCTGATTTTGCAACTATAGCTAGTTTCATTTTAAAAAGTGAAGCATTTGACCACTAACCATTTCTAAATGTTGAATATGTTCGTATCACTTCTGCTGACCTGGGCATAATAAGTGCTTTAAAGTAAGATAAAGATATTCATCTAGAAAGAAATTTCTCAAATTATATTTATTGTTAATGTTTGACCTACTTTCTACAATGAAACAGGTTTTTCTGCCAAAGATTCCCAGCTGGAACTGGGATACTGGAGACAATATCATCTGTTTTGCTGAACTGAAGCTTGGATTTATCGCCCAAGGCTGCTTGGTGCCAGGCTTGTGCACCTTTCTAACATGTCTCTTTGTTGAGCAAAACACTAAGGTAACCTTGTAAATTGATGTTGAATCTTGGCTCCATCCTCATGTTCTCACGTATTAGGATCAGAAATAGATACAAAAATTGAGGAAAGCAAGAAAGCACCAGCAAAGGAGATTTGACTTCTACTTGAGCTGGGAAGGAATTACGACATCTACATTGAGTTCCCATGTACCACATTAACCTTGAAAAAAGTTATTTATTTTATTCTTGCCCAATAATATTTATCTGCGAAATAGAGACCATAACTCTGCTTCCTACCTGCTCCATGATATTATGAATGTAAATGTATTCATAAATGCAGAAGCACTTTGAGTTATTGAAAGTAGAAATATAATTAAAGGTTATGTTATTAGTGGAGAAGTCACATACTTAAATATAAATTAAATACAAAATAATCAACATGATAATAAATAATTATATTCATCAAACAAAAATAATAATGCAAATAATAGTTAAAATCTAATTTTCCAGGTCATTTGGGGGGCATTCCATACAGTAATAATAGTAATGACCACATATTGAGTGCCTACTATGTGTTACACATTTTCAATACATTATGTTTCCCCTCAGTAATAGTTCACTGCAGTATCCCAGTGATGGGACAGTGATGTTAGCCAACTTGGTCATATAGGAAGTGAGTAACAGAGCTAGAATCATCTGACATATGGTCTTACCACTGTGCCCTGTGCCTGTGAGTGTTGGGTATCTATTCACAAAATTCCACGCCAAGTCCTAGGATACCTTTGAGACAAAATAGCAGCTAAAAGGAACTATTGGAATGAATTAACATAGCAGAAAGTATGACTTTCCAAATGCCATTTCCATGAAATGCATAGAGAGTTGTTCTAACCCTCAGCTGGGTCTGATATCCTCTTGTCCAAAGCCCCTCCAAAGACTGACCTTTCTCTCCATTTAATTACGAGTCCACATGTGCCTTTTTTTATGTGCAATTTTCCTCCTGGTCTCTCTTCACACTTTATGTCCTTTGTTCAATAAGTTCAAAAATTTTTGCATCTTCTCTGGCTCTTTTTCTGGTGCTGTCAAGGAAAAGCAAAAGCAGGGGGAGGTGCTCTGGCCGGCACAGTGCTGGCTGGAACTCCTGGGACTCTCCTGCAGCTCCTTCTGCGACGGAGGAGACATCGCCTGATGGACGGAATGGCCACCAGGCAGCAGGGAACGAGCTTGGTGCTACCACCATGACCACGTTTCAGCCTCCACTTGGCGGTCACTCTGTGCGGCCTAGGAAAAGAGGTCAGGAAGTCCTCTTTGTGCTCCAGGCTTGGAAAGTGGAAGATAACTGCAATGTCTGTTGTGATGACTGTGATTTGAATCCTTGTGGCTGGAGAAAATAAAAGGAATGAGTTCTCTCTCTGAAGACCTCATCTCTCTCATAGAAATGGAGAAGGTAGAAATGTGAAACCAGCCCTATTAGACTTTTCTTTTTCTTTTTTATCTAAAGTTGTAACCTCCTCACTGAGATGGTTCACTATAGATGGTTATCTATAAGTCATCATAAGATGGTTTTTGGAATACGGGAATTGAGAGAGATCTGTGGTCATGGGTTTTTTATGGTTTTTTTTTGTTTTGTTTTGTTTTTAGAAGTGAAGTCTAAAGCTCACTTTCAGAAAATCTCAACTGGGCAGAATCAGATAGAGCAAGATGTTTTTAATGCTATATGTTGCCCTGGTGCTTTAGATTCTGTAATTAACTGTTTACTTGTGTTTAATGGCTAGGACTCCAGTGTCTTATGTCCCATTTTACTTGGGTCCTCTGCCCCTCGGGTAGGTTTAGCCTTTTTGAGAGTTATCCCTTCTCCCTTCACATCTCCCACCTCTCTAGAAACCTACTGCTATCCTTGATTTTTGCATTTGCATTTTCATTAATTAGGGTGGCTCTTTGGGTTCATTTGAACAGATGAAGAGGTCTGATACTGGGGGGAAAACATGTATATTTTTTTCTTTGTGGTATGCGGTTACAGGTAAATCTCTGAGATATTGCAGGTTTGGTTCTAGACCATCGCCATAAAATGAGTATCTCAGTAAAATCACTCATAATCTTTTTTTGCTGATAGAGGGCTTTGCCTTCAGTTTGTAAAAAACACATCTGTGAAGTGTAATAAAGTGTAATACGTCTTGGAGGCCATCTGGGAAGAAACTCAGGGTGCCTCCACTTTGTTCTGGACTCTTTAGTGAAAGCAGTTGAGATGTATGTTAAGAGTTTTAGTTCTTCCTTTGACAGTTCTCCAGTTAAGCACTAGGACAAATCTCCTTCCTATCACCTAATGGGCATGGTTTGCTGCTAAGCAAAATACACAACTTGAATTATAGTTTCCCATAATCCATGTCGGGTGCTTCATGTGTTATGATTGTATATCACAGGTTTGTCCTAAACGGCCCTGGCAAAAAATCTTTTTAAGTAGCCTGAAGAACAAAATCCTGACTCAACGTCTTTCTGATGATTTTGCTGGAATGAGCTTTCCTGAGGTTTCCAGGTAAGTTAACAGAAACACTCTCCTCATTTTTTCATGCAATGACATTCTTTCACCAATGGTCATTGATGGCATTTCTGTAGGCCAGGATCCAGGGCAGGCACTGAAGATATAAGAATGTAAGGTACAAGAATAAGTCTGAGTCTCTGCAAACTAGAAGTTGTGGGACACTTTTGTCTCTGTCCCTACAAGTGGGAACTCCATGCTGGGGAGGCCCCTCCCTGCTGAGGCGCTGGTGCCCCCAGGTGTGAGCACAGAGCAGGTCACGGTGTTGTGGAGTAGTGCCCTGCTCACCTCCCTTTCCTCACGACCTTGTCTCCCTTCCCAGGTTCTGCTTTGTGAAGCTGCACCTCATGCTGATAGCCATCGAACACGAATTCTCGCTTTCCAGTTACTGGTAACAATGAGGCTTCGGACCTCTTCCGTTTTTGTTTTGCCTTTTTCTGTTTTGTTTTGTTTTGTTTTTTAAGTAGACTATTTATGATTAAGACTTTTCTAAAAACTACAGCCATAACTAAGCTTCTGCCATTCGTTGAGAGCCAGCTATGGGGCACGCAGGTTGCTGGGTGCATTTAGTATTATCTGGAACAAGGGGGTTTAGGGCGGTTCCCCGGTGACAGGCGCTTGGCCTCTGCCCCTGTGACCCTGCCCCAATTCTCATCAGGAGGGGCCACCTTCTCAGATCGGTTCCTCTTAATATATTACCAGATCTTGTAAATCTTGACCACGAAACTATACTATGAAATAGAATTACTTATGATAAAAATGTTCTCACAAACTCTAGTCTTAGAAACAAATCTGCAAAATGTGGCAAAATGAGAATTTGACTGGCCTGCTCGATAGAGGCTGTTGTTAACAGGGGAGATGAAAGAAAGAGATAACATTGCCCGTATTTCCTGAGAACCCATATTGGATAATGTGAGCAGTAAGAGAAGTTATCATGTCAGAAAAATAAAATTTAGGACAAATAGAGAATCAGCTACAATAATATAGAGAGAAAAGGTGATGAAAAATAAAAAGCAGGGGCTTAAGTGGATGGGGAACAAGAAAGACATTAACTTATGCATGGTTCCCAGTGTAAACCTAACTTGAATGAGGATCGACACACTAGATTCTAATCCTGGTTATGATGTGGTAGCCTGGTGGCCTTGCAAAGTGCCCGTCATCGGTAAAGTGAGGAACTCGAGTTAATGAACACCTAAGACCACTTCCAGCTCTAAAAGCTACTTAACCAGGAACCCTACAATTACAGGGAAGTAGTCAGTTCAGTAAGTTTGAGTGGTAGCACAAAGGGATGGTTTTATGTGAAAGGTCAGAAAGAGCAACAGCTCTGTGCAAGCAGAGAGCTTGCAGAAAGGATCGGGCAGAAGCCATCAGTGGCGCACAGTGCAAAGCCAGCCATTAAGAAGAGAATAGATGATATTGTCTGGCTGGTTAAATTCTTTCTAGCAATCCTGCCCTACTCAAGAAATCTCAAAGTCTAACCCTAAACCAGGCACTTGAGTTTCAGACTGGTCCAAAATTTGATCAAGTTGTAACATCTTTTTGGCCTTCAACAACCCGGGCTACCCATCAGGAATATTTGCAAAGTTTTAAAGACATATAGATCTCAAAACTGTACTTCTTAACTTTACAGAATCAACATCTCCAAGGGTGAGGCCTGAGAATTTTTTTAAGTCTCCTTGATATAGTCAGTTTATTCACTGGCATTTGGAAACAACTGGGCCAAATGCATTTAAGATCCTTTTCAACTCTGACATCCTGGATTTCTCTAAATATTACTAGAATGACTATGAGGACATCATAGACCAGAAGCATGAGTATCTATTAAGCCACTAACTTCTACATCTATTTGAGAATCCTGGTGCTGTTTACTGTCAAGCACACATCTACCCACAATGAAAGAGGTGCCTGGTCTAACATAGATTTAACTTTGGTTTTTCACCCAAAAGTCAGGTGAATGAAAGGAATTAAATCCTGATTTGGCAAAGGTATTGATGACAGATCTCTTACGTGATTGCTGGTTCATGACCAACAGTGCTGTAGGCATTTTACATGAACTCTTGAGTCCTTACAACACTGTGAGATGTGCACAACTATTAGTTCCAGTTTACAGCGGGGGCTGAGGCCCAGCAAGGTTGACTAATTTCCCAAGCTCACACTGCGTCTAAGAGGCAGAGGCGGAATCTGAACTCAGTCTGGCTCCAGGGGCTGAGCTTCTCATCACCGAGCTGTACTAAATCCACCACAGCCATACAGAAGTGGAAGAAAATAGAGCATCTCAGTGACTGGGCTTTAGGCGAGTTTATTGAAACACTGGTGGAAACCTCTTTCTCATCTTTTATTTTCTCTTCTAATTGATACACTTGAATATACTCTAAGACTTGCAAAACCCCTGGACAAGCATAAAGATGTGTCTTATGGAATAATTTGTCACCTACTAGGAGATAAAGTTGGACCTGACCCAGTTAGATAGTATCTGAGATTGTTCCAGTAGCAGACATTCTGTAATAAAGCAACTGGTCATGATTAATGAGGAGGGGAATTAAGCAATAATGCCAGTTAAGAAAAACCTTCAAAAGTTCACCTCTTCTTTCAAATGCAACTAGTATCTGCATAACTAAATATTTAGTAAGAGTTCAGAGGATCATTCCTTTAAAAAAGAAAAAACAAGGAGATATGAAGAATCAACTAAGTGTATGCTTCCTAGCTAGTGAACATTAACCAGTGAAATTGGGGGTAGGAGGCACAAATCCATATTCTTCCTCTTTTAAAGTTAAAGCAAGCATCCTACTCATTCATACCAGTCAGTAAATACTCAGAAAATGCCATCCAGTGTCTCAGGTAATAATCACCTGAACATAGCGACTCAGCACTTTCTACTCTGGCATTGTGCAAGCCCTTTTATTTTTGTAAGTCTCTAACGCTTGCAAGTTACTTGGAGTCCCCTAAGAGCAGCAGCTTTCCCAGAATTAAGACTTAACCTCTTTCCAGTGTGAGTATAAAGGGAGCGTCTTAAAGGAGGAAAGGGACGCTTCTCTCGTGCAGATGAAGTGCGGGGAGTTATACGGTTACAGACCTTATCACACTAGAGGTCTGAGTAAATCAGGAGCTCTGATAAACGGGGGAAATGTGAGGAACTCCCACTATAGTCATAGGAGAGGACTGCACCAGGGAGTATCACGTCTGAAATAAGAGCATTTTCAAACACACAAACCATAAGAAAATCGAAAATCAAAATGTTCAAGTAATGTAGAAATAGAAACAATTCATGTTCCTGCTCTCATAAATCTTGCCACCAGGAGACAAATATGAAGTCAAAAGAAGTATGCAAGTTCAGAAAATGTATAGGCAGATGAAAGGAACTTTTTAACACAACTGAACAGTAGACTAATCTAATTTTAAAGGTCAAGTAGGCGAGGGATGAACACCACTCGCAAGTCCAGCAGCTGTGTGGCCTTGGCCTCGATAGCAATGGATAGCCTAAGTCATCAAGGCTCCTTCATACGTCTGAGCTGGTGTGACCATCTCAGACTCAGGACACCGTCCAGGGAAGAACTCAGCCTTAGCTCAGCTGTGTTCGCAGCTCAGCAGTCGTGTTGTGTCCTGGCTTCCCTGCGCGTATTTAGCAGCAATGAGTATCAAATATAGTCACATTCACATTTTCTGCCATGTTTAGCAGTGAAAGGGGATTGAGTCCTGGTAACTCTGCAACTTAGAGGATCCATTGGTAATGACAGAATGAAACACCAAATATCGGCACAATTATTGAAGGAAAAAACTTACTGTATTTTTATTTTTTGTCTCTAGTGGTCTGTTACTAAATCCACCTGCGCAGGTTAGGCTGCATAAGAACACATTAGGATTCTTTATTGCTGAATCTGCAAAGGATGTCAAAAGGTAATTTCTTTTTATTACTTTACAGGGAGAAAGTCCTAAAGCACATACAACTTAATGGCAGGCGGACTGAGTCAGCGCCATGCTACCTTAGTGTTAAGCCTCACATAAGTCATTCTTGATTTGCTTTCATTGTCCAGAGCCTTCTTTTACTGTGCCACCTGTCACAGTGATGTGTATTCTCCTGAGCTAATTGGAAAATGTTGCTGCAAAAGCAAGAATAATCGACACTTCCCAGGTAACTGCACTTTACATCTGGCTGTCCTCAGCCCAGCTTCTGGGGGTGTGGCCAAGGAACGAGGAGAGGGTCCATCCTTTAAAGGACAATGCCCATTTGAACTGGGCCAAGAAGTGGCGGATATTCCCCCACTGTGCATATAAGACCTGACAATCGGCCTTTGAGGGCTGAAAGCAACCTGACTGGTTGTCTAGTTCAGCTCGTCCACCGGCCAGGCAAATGAGTTCTAACGGAGATTCACTGAGGAGCAGGTCCAAGGAGCTGCTCGTGTAAAATCAAAGACTCTGTCTCAACCCTGTCTCCATTTTCTCTGAATCTTTCAATTTCCCTTTGGGACTCTAAGACAGTTTGGAGCATAGAAAAAATAAACAAATAAATAAATAACTATTCCTATATAATGTCCTAAAATGCTTCAGTCTGAAGAATATTGTTAATTAAATGAGCTTTAAGACCCTATTTTGGATTCAAAAATTAAACATTGACTCTTTTTGAATTCTATGACAATACGAATATTTTTTTGAGGCCATAGATGGGGCTGACTAGGAAAATGTCCACTAAAGAAGATGTGAATAAGAAGGATAAGATATGCTACAAGTATCATCTAATTGTACATATCTTTATACAATGTGAAAATTTAGCATGGTTTCATACAGTAGACATATTTCTATAAATACGATGTACAAATAAAACTTTTGCAAATAAACTATACACACTCATACACTTGCACTGCTATCAAAAATGTTTTATAAAAATGAGTAATCACCCCTTATTTGGCTGACTTTTACGTGTGGTTTTACTATAAATATTTTAAAGCAAGAAGTTGCTCCAGTATAAAGATGGAAATGCTTTTGTTTAAAGAGAAAGGCTCTCCCTTCATATTTGTATGTACGCCAATGTTCACCCACTTCTATGACATGTATTTGATAGTATCAAAGGAATAAATTAGTGAGATTTTCAATTTACAACATAACATTTGAGCTTCGATGTAGTTATCACATTCCTCAGAATTTTTTATTCTTCTCATAATAGAATTATTTCTTCTTCCTGCTGCGTACTGATCCTCAGTCACCACCCCTATAAACCCTGCCCCACTGGATTCAGAACTCTATGAATCTGGTATTGAGTCACTGTCCTTGACTTCAATTTGCCAGATGATGGCAGCAGAGTACCATGAAATGCTCGCTGGTCTGGCGAGTGAATTTGAATCCCAAGAGTTCCTTCTAGCCAACATGTTGCCAGAGAGGACATCATTGTAGAAGCTGACTGCTTGGCCTTAACAGGTTTAAAAGTCATGATAATATCTGGAAATTCTCCCAGAGAATTAACTTTCAAAAAAGGACTTAGGAACTTACCTATGGATGCTGAAATAGATACTTGACTGACTTTATTTCACATTTCAGGGCCAGATAAAGGGTATCTATCCCGAGTCTACTCCCTTCAAATAAGTACCACTTTATTGAGCTAATTAAGTTTGCTCGGTCCCACGAGCTTCTTCCTCCTGCTATACCAAATGTGAAGACTTGCAGAAGACTTGAATTCTGGCCACCGCTGTACCACTCCTTAGCTGTGGTTGAGGGAAAACATGTTACCTTTTGGGGTCTCGGTGTCATCATTCCCATACTAGGAAGTTCCCATCACCTCTGTGGCCCTTTTCCATTCTGATATTCGAGCGATTTTCAACCGGTATGCCACAAGAATTTTTAAAACATGCAATACCTAACTATTTAGTCAGGGGCACTTACTTCTTTTCCCTTATTAGGTTGTCAAATTTAAAAAAATGATAACAGCCAACACAATAGCCATCTGGTGTGAATGAATCAAAATTAGACCTTATTTTTTGTTTGTTTTTTTTTTTGTTAGATCGGCATAATGTATATTTTTTGATGTGCCACAGAATTTTGGTAGTCAGTTTATGTGTTCCATGAGATAAAAGAGGTTGAAAATTGCTGTGATATTTTATGATTCATAATCCCTCTACTTTTGATTACTTTCTTTTTTAAAACTAGAACCACAGCAGAGGTTCTTCACTTAAATTCATAATCCAGAGTTTTAGAGAGGCATCAGGTTGCTGTGGTTAGTAGAACATGGATTCGGCGTTAGTCACTTACTAGCTATGTGACTTAGGGCGAATTATTTAAGATCTCTCTATGCTTCATATTTCTGCAAAATGTTGACGACGAGGTTACAGATCTCAGAGGGTTAAATGACAATATTAGTACTTAAAGGGATACTAGTGGAGTATATTAATATAAAAAGCATTAAGACCAGTGCCTGGCAAATGATAAGTACCACATATATGTTAATTATCATATTACCTATGGGAACATAAAAAGCATCATTATTTTTTTTCTAATCAATGAAATACAGGTAAAATAAAAATTGGCAGAGACGTTCTGGTGGATTATATTTATTTTGACCCATTTCTCGATTTCCTTTGGGGGGTGCAGAGCGTGAAGACTGAGAGGGCTAGCCTTCAGGGCAGGAGCATGATTGTCTTTCTGCTTTTCCGTGAGTTTGATAAGTTATCGGGCAGGAACTTCCCCAGTGCCAACTGTAGAGCTCACTGCCGGCTGTTTCAAGTGGAAATTTCTAATGGCCGTGGTTTTAGAGAAGGTCCGCAGCCAGGGCAAGGAGGGGCACTTGAGAATCATTGTATGTGACGGAGGGGAGGGAGTGGACAACGTGGACGTGGCCCTCAGGAAAGTTGTGGCACCTCCTGGGAACTATTTCACATTCTCATCAGAATGCTAATGTTTGTGATGGACTCATACCTAAAAGAGAGAGGAATTATGAAAATGAAACTGAAAGAGGGTGTGAAAAGAATTAGAAATGGTTTGAATAGGTAACCCAAATTTGAATTAACCTCACTTCACAGTTTTCTTTAGGTGTGGCCCTGGGTCACTTTTTTCATAAACATCCAAGAATAATTGACCCCTTTAAGAAAAGAATCAGAGCAGCTAGTGTCACCCTGATGACTCCACCAGCTCCTCTCCCCAGACTGGCTCAGCTCCGCGGCTCTGAAGTCCAGGGAGAGCTCTTCCTGTACCGCCGGCCTTAGGTAGCAGAGAGTCGAAGGTGTTTCTGTGTGACTCTCCTCTAAAGCACGGTCAAGACCACATGCCCACTGAATTCCAATAAAAAGAAAAGCAATTTGATAATAAGTCCACAAAGCACATACCAAAATATCTTGAATTCCTATATTCAGGACAGTTGTTATTGCTCTTTCTAATCCTACAGTTGTCTGTGGGGCTCCATATTCTTCGGTCCTTATTGTCCATTTCCACCTCAGCTGTGCCCCTTTTACTTCTCATCTTAATGATTGCAGTAGCTTTCTAGCTGGTTTCCCTGGATCTAGCCTCTTTTCATGTCAAATCCTGCCATTTTTCATGGCTATAATGATTTTCATGAAATCAAGTTCTGGTCAGGATGGATATATAAAGAAATAAATAGATAGATAAATGTTATCCTTACCTTTGCAAGACTAACAGATTGGCTGGATCTGTTGTCCTGTTGATTCCTCAGCTCCTACGAGCAGTAGTTCTTATCCAGAATACATGATATCAATTTTTAGGTGTGTCACAATTATCGGTAAATAAAAATTTTATGAATAATTGCACCAAATTAGCTACTTAGTAAATTGGAGAAGATTCAGAATTACCCAAATAATACAGGAATTATTTTCACTCGTTTGAACACGTAAGATTTCTTGAGGGAAATAGAAAGTAGAATTATTGCTATCCATATGGTAATCATATATGGGGCATATCTTAATATGTGGTCTTATCATGTATGCCAGAAAAGGATAATGTTTGCACGTAGCTTTCAAGGAAATCCCTTCTTGAAAAATAGAGAGAGAGAATTATAATGTTGGCCAGGTATAGCACTTCAATTTTTTCCTATCATTTGTAGGTCTTAGATGCCATATCTTTTGGGGTATCTAATGCTTTATTCAGAAAACTTTTAAAGAATATCCATAGGAAAGTCATGGTACGTCATGGCAAGATATAATCAGCCTAGCTACAGTGTTAGGCAAAATCTATTCCATTTTTTTCTTGCCTAAAATATGAAAAACTAATTACTCGCACACTGTCAGCTGTAGATAGATATATAGATAAAAATATAAATATAAAAAGATCAAACTGTTTTAGAATAACTTAAGAGAGGTGACTTTGTCTTCCTTTTTCATTTTATTCTTTGCTTTGTCCCAAAATGTCCAAAGCAGCATAGAAACTGGGGTCAAGGGCAACAGTAGATTGCTGCTCGTTCTTAACTGCCCTGTCTGCACCCTACTAGAGAGAACACTTTTCGACATTTTTTAAAGTCATTTGGATTATAGAATTCAGAATTGGAAAGGGCCAAAAGAGATCATATGTACCAATTTACCTTTTACCTTCAGGCCACCAGCACATAGCCAGAGACTTCCTCAATCCTCATACAGGCTGCTCCCCCCCCGGCCCCCCCCCCCACACACACACACATACCTGCACATACTTCGATAATTCTGAAAGCTGCCAAAATTGTACAAACCATTAATGTGTTTTCAGAAGACATTTTATTAAGAATGACACAAAGAAAGATTCAAAGCTTTAGCAAAAATTGCACACTCTGTTTTTAGTACCGGGCAAATGTTGCTGGCTGGAGAGGTAGGCTTTGAGAAGGCTGAGACTTCCCGCAAGTGCCATTGTTCCTGAGCCAGTGTGAGCATGTTGCCTTTCACATCCCACAGCTCAGCTTCTCTCACATGCAATAAGCCGCTGGCCTTTAGAGACTGACAGTTGGTAATGCACTAGTTCTCACTCAGACTTTTCTTCAGATGTTCCCTCCCTGGGCCATTCCCCCAGGGCAAAAGGTAACCACGAAGTAAGGAAACATCAGTCAACTGAAAGTCCCCATCAAGCCTCCATATGTAAGTGGAGGTTTCTGAGGATTACAGGTAGGGAGCAATCTTATGCCAAACCTGGCTCTTCGCACACCTGGGTGATGCAGTAACTGATGATTTAAGCTGACAAATCACATATCCAAAGGACATCCCTCTTCTTCCAGAAGGTGCACTTCAACTCAGTTGGTATTTTCCATGGATTATAGTGGTTCAGAAAGAATTACAACAAAAGAAGAGGGATACCAAGATTTTCTTGTGGCTTTTTCTGTCTGCCGTTATCCAAAGCCTGGTGGTATATGGGTTTAAAGCCTTGTTCCACATGAACTCCCCATTCTGAGTAGTCTCAGTACTGAGATGATTCTTAACACTGGAGGTAAAGGCCATGTATGTCTCTTTTCTCTACTTGGGTGGGTGGGGGAAGAGGAGTAGCAATGATGTCTACTCCGGAGGTTATTTTTTTATCATAATACCAAGTGCCAATCGACCGATAAAGGCTTCCTATCCCAGTGTGTTGAAAGGACTCCTAAGCCGAATGTGGGTTCTGGAATAAGAATGGCATGTTGTATGCCAACATGTGCATGCAGGCAGAAGTAATGGCTCACGTGTCACCTTTTCCATTTCAGTGCAGCTCCATGTGGCTCATTTAATTATTAAATTTGAAATATTCTTGCATTTATCCTCACAATCACCCTCTGACGTCCCAGTATTATCCCCATTCTGCAGATGAAAGAGTTATTTGCTCTTGCATTATTTCCAGATTTTGAACTTTAAAAATGTTTTGGGAATTAATAATAAAGGAAGCCATGGAGGAAAAAATGAAAAGGAGGCAGTAGCCGAGTAGAATGAATTGCAACATGAGCGCTATCTGTAGAAGGGAGAGGGGGACTTGCATAGGGTTTTTTTCTTAGAGTCCTATAGTGTAGACCCTGCCTGTACCAAGAAGACTCCCTAGATGCAATGCTTTTGGGTGAAATGAGAGGAATGATGGACTAGAAAAATACAGCAGCAACCCAGTAGGTGCTTATTTGAAGCATACTGTATGGTATTGAAATCCTCACATTTTCCACTCACTCTCAATTCTATAGAAGGAAATTACAGAGTCCTCTAAAATTGGTCCTTTTAGAACTAGTCTGTAGCTAAGGGATCCCCAGCTTCTCCCTAGTTAAGGACCTGGAAATGTCTCAGCCAACAGTAAGTTTCAAAATCTCCTAGGAACAGATACTATGCCAACGCACTAAGATTGCTGTACTATTGCAGGGTCAAGAGTAATGGTAAAGACAACCACCGCCCCGAAGGTCTTCAGTGAGCCAGAACTGTTTGACCCTTTTCCATCCTCACATCTAAAGAGGATTAGCGCCTTGAGCTCGACCACCAGGTAAGAGCCTCAGAGAACCCCGGTCTCCTGTGGCCTCTGAGAATTTCAGGGCAATAAAAATTTGACTTAAACTGGAACATTTGCTTTATCAGCTCCTGTTCAGACCACTGGAATTGTTTCTCACAAAATAAATTCATCTTTACTTCTCCCAATATCATTAAGCTAAGTAAACATACCTCCCACAACAGACCTGAAATCATTTACACCTATGATAACCAAAAGTTGTGTACCCCATTTCTTTCAAATCACCTTTCAGTCACTCTAGAAATGTGGGTTGGGATGACATTTCAACTATTCCCAAGTGGCTTTTTAAATTATTAATATATTCCCCATTTCTAACAAATTGATGATGAAATTGTCTTTGTTTCAGAATCTACAAAATAGAGTCAGTAAATCTCCCCCCACCTCACTCTCTTTCTCCCTACAGATCTTTAATACATTAAATCTTTGATTAACTAGAATGCAGGGTTGGAGGGGGAGGGAGTTCTGTCTAGTGATTTTAAATAAAGGGTTGATCTAAAAGTTCTATTACTCTAAACTTCGTTATGAATAACTCTGTCATGTGTTGGCAACATTGCAATTTTAGTATCTGTCCTATACCAAGAAAGCCTTTAATGGCCGAGGAATGCGATCATGGGCCATTCAATATTATATTGTCAGCAGAGCACAATCACCATGTTCTGGCTTTGCGTAAGGCAAGTTCAAGTGCTGGCTCCAAGCTGTGTGATCTTGGGAGAGTTGCTGAACATCTAGTGTCTCAGTTTAGATATCGTGAATGAGTAGAATAATAATGAATTCTTTATAGGACTTTTGTAATGAGATTAGGTGTTTAAAGCACTTTTCTTGATTCCTGGCTGAGAGTATGTGCTCATTAAATATTTCTTAATATTGAAATTATCAATTATTATATCTAGGAAGGTGTACAAAATTGGAATGAATATGTAATAAGTGCAGAGCCTTCTAAAGGTGTGGATTTTGAAATAAATCCTTGATCTTATTTTTGCTATAATTCACCTATTTCTTTTATTGATTTCAGAGAGAGAGGGAGAGAAAGATAGAAATATCGATGAAAGAGAACATCAATTGGCCACCTCCTGCATGCCCCCCATTGGGGATCGGGCCCACAACCTGGGCATGTGCCCTGACGGGAATCGAACTGGCCACTTCTTGGTGCATGGGACAATGCTCAACCACTGAGCCACCCCAGAAGGGCTATAATTCACCTATTTTCTTTTCATATGTGAAAACTCATGCTTTTGTTAAGGGTTCTGGATTGATGGGACTCTTAATGGGGGCTTACTGTACCCTTCTAAAGGAGAGGCAGGCATTCATCGTCCGAGCCACCAAAGGCACCACCACTACGTGTGTGCACTAAGAGGAATATAAAAGTCTCAGGAATTTTAGTTTCTACCCTTCCTTGCCTTTCAGTCCAGGATTTTGTAAAACTGAGATCATCTGTGAGAAAGGATTAAAAACTATTTAAAGAAAAGGTGCTGTGAAATTTTGTGAATTTATATTTTCCCTCACTTTTCATGACAACAAAACAGCTACAGACTAACACTAGGATTTGCAGATAATTTTTTTTCTTCTAAAATGGTTGGTAAATAGATATGTATTGAATTCCTCGATGCGCTAAGTAGGCACTGTGCTTGAGTGTCTTTAGATATAGATATAACAATCGCGTTGCAACTCCTAGGCCATCTACTTGGATAAAGGAGATGAATTAATATAAAATCAACCAGAGGCCAAGTAAGGCAGCATTTCTTCAAGTGTTGCATTGATGATTCCAGCAGAAGGTCAAAGGAGGAAGAGGTCAAGGAAAGCTGGATGGGATTTGGGAAGGTAGATGAGCGTGGGAATCTCAGCTCCGCTGTGGGATATGCCGTGGGCAAGGCATGGTACCAACATGCACCTCCCATGTGCCAGCCCAAGGAGAAGAAATCATGGCAGAGTGGTGTGAGAAATGACGTTTCCAGTTGTTTAAGAATACGTTCTTTGCTATGGATATTGGGCATGTGTGTATGTGTGTGTGTACATTGTCTACATTAATGCAAAGTTGTTACAAAAGTTGTTCAAATTGCAAACATTTTTGGATAATATAAAGACAATATGTGTAATAACACATGAAGTGCTCCAATCGTGTTTAAATTTTCATCTGTCCTTTGCCATGTCTTCTTTGTAATGATAGAGGACTGGCAGTTCGTAGACAATCAGAGCCACAGAAAAATCCTTAAAGGTAATTTTAGCCATTCAGTTTCACTGACTTTTCCCCACTATTCTTTAACACAGCTATAAAAACAAAATAATTTAACATATTGGTATGTTTACCGTTGTCTTTACTTCCCGCATTGTCTATGATAAATAAGGAAATGGTCTAAAGCAGGCATCTATCACTAGGATTGGTCCACATGGCCTAGTCCATCCAGACTGGGCCCATCAGCCTCACATCTGGCTGGATGATCCCTGAATATGTTTTAAAAACCTCTAAATAAGGTGAGAGATAAATGATGCTTAATTCACTTGTACCTCTAAATTTAAAAGCAAGATGTGTTCACGTGAACTAGAGGCTTAGGGAAAAACACTGGTCACCCTGGCTAGTGTGGCTCAGTTGGTTGAGTGTTGTCCTGTGCACCAAGAGGTTGCAGGTTCAATTCCCAGTCAGGGCACATGCCTGGGTTGTGGGCTGATCCCCAGTAGAGGGTGTGTAGGAGGCAGCTGATGGATGTTTCTCTCACCCTCTCCCTTCCTGTCTCTAAAATCAATTAATAAAAAAAAAAATACTTAAAAAAACAAACACAAAAAGAAAAACCACTAATCAGAGCCATACTGCTGATTTAGATAGTGGCATACCCTTAGATAGATAAGCACCATTGGTGGGTGAAGTTCTGTAATTCTTCATCAATGGAGTTGGTTAGCTCAGCTGATTTAAATGCAATGTTAATGGGATCAATGACAGATCCTGCTCCCACTTTGTACTATGAAATAGGATGGCTTTTTGTTTTATTTTTCTTTCTTTTTTTAATTTTAAGGGAAAAAGTAACTCCAGCCAGCAAAATGGCAAACATACGTCCTGGGTAACAACAATGAGTGATACAATGGACTAGATGGTTTAATAGAGACGAAAAGGCATTATTGGAGGGGAAATGTCAAGTGTGCGATATGTGCTGTTTGTGATCCATTTTTGATGTTTTAATAGTATTAAATTCACATACCCAGATCAACATAATATTATTTATAGTTTTACAGACAGTGGACTCGATGCTTTTAAAGGTGTTATCTTCAGGCCAACAGTGGGTTTTCTGGTCAGTTCAGAAACTGCAATTTTCTGTTTTTAGTACTTAAAGCAATACAGACAGCTATAACTTATATAAAAGTTGTGCCCAATATACCATGGCATGCCTGGTGGTCCTCATTTCCCATAGTATAAGCAATGTTATAAATAACAGTTAGGTTCTTAGACTAGCACACAAAAGTCTATTTAATAGATGTAGTTGAACATGTATTTGTGGAATGAACACTAGCTCTATTCACCTGAGTTCTGTGTCCTTAAATCAAAGGGTTATGTAATATGAGAGAAGATGAGTGTTTTCTCTTCCTTTTCAGAATGATAAAATTAGACCTATGCAAAACTTTAAACATTTTTTATTGATTTTAAATAGAGAGGAAGGGAGAGGGAGAGGGAGGGGGGAGAGAGAGAGAGAGAGAGAGAGAGAGAGAGAGAGAGAGAGAGAGAGAAACATTAATTGCTTGTCTCCCATATGCTCCCCTACTGGGGATTGACCTGCAACCTAGGCATGTGCCCTGACTGGGAATCGAACCTGTGACTCTTCGATGCATAGGATGACGCTCTAACCAACCGAGCCACACCTGCCAAGGAAGATCTATGCAAAATTTTATGATAAAGAAAATGCATTTCAACCATTCCTAGAACCCCTTTGTTGGGTTCCCATTTCTTTATTCCGGTCTCCCTACTTTGGATGAGCTAAGGGGAGGTTCTGCCGATTTTACCTTTTCTACAAATATCATTCTCTTCCTCTTCTTTATCACAATTCACTTCTTCAGTAAAACTGGTTTTAATTAGATATTAAGAAAAGAATTAGATACAACTCATTCATGGTATGGTGTGACTGACCAATAACACAATATCCACATCAAGTCATTCAGTATAATTATAAGCAGGTGTTTATGAACTCAGGTAAATATTGATAGATATCTATTCAGTGAAACAAGGATGGGCATATATTCCAAACACTGTATGATAGATATGGGCCAGGAGAGGAAGCTCTTTCTAATAGAAAAGTTTGTCTTCTTTGGGCATATCAGCCCTTCTCTTGCCTTTCTCCTAGTGGGCCTTCTTAATTCAACTCCGATAAACTATATTGAAATCTGAACATATTTTCCCACATAATGTCCTTCCCCACTGTGTCTTTGTGAAGTTTATAGTCAAGGTCATATTTATAATACCAACTTCTCTATAGTCTCCATGTTCTTCCAGAGATACCAGAGACCATGAATGTTATTTTTTTTTTCCCTCTTTTCTAATGTCCAACCCAGCCTTAGCTCTTTAAAGGTCAAGGTGCCCACAAACATCAGACCTGAGCATTGTCACTACAGCAGGCATGAGCCCTCGATCACCATTCTCTTTAGCTTTTAAGCTTCAGTTTTCTCATCTGCAAAACTGAAATCCTTTTAGATCCTAAACAATTGAATTGTCATTGTGAGGACTGGATGAGATGAACAGATTCCGTTTTTATGCAGCGCCTAGCACAATAAAAATTGAGCAAGTAAAAAACGATTCATGTCACTATTATTCTATTCCCCCATAGCCCTCTGTCAACATTTCCCTGGCTCTTAGAGTTCCATGCTTTGCAACCAGTTTTTTCACATTCAGAGGGAGAGGGTTTGAAGTTTGAGACCTTGCGAAATTTCACTGTCTACGACACACCATCCATAGGCCATTGGCTCCCTAAAATATATCAACCTGGCGTTCAGTGAAGATCTGCGATGCAGTGCCTCCCACTGGTTCGTGAACTCTGCCACACCCAACTCTGCCTAGAGCTGGCCATTTCTCTCCAGAACGCTCTTTCATGGCAATTCCAGCTTCTTCCTGGGCTATTTCCCAGTGCCTTCCAGCGCGACTGATCCCCTGGGGCCCTCGTTGCTGAGCATACGACAGTCCACTGAGAAGGACTGCCAGCCTGTCCTCTTGCAAGCCGGAAGCATATCAGTGTAAAAGGTACACTGACCCCCAGGGCACGAGAAACCCATCCGACTGGGAGGAATGATTTGTTCTCTTCCGGCTCACCCTGTCCAGCCCTGCGGACTTTATGACCAGGCAGGACTCCTGAGACGTCTGTCCCAGTGACCGCTCACTTTCATACCCTCCACCACACACACACACACTCAGAGTTTACTTAGGAAATGAAACAGGGCCCTTTCTCCATTGTTACTTTCAGCTCTGCACATCTTATTGAAACCTGTGCCCCAGATGATCCTGGCAAGAGAAACACCATCTTTCAGCCTCAGTGATGTCTGGAATCTTACTGAGGACCAGCTTCCAGGTCTTTCCAGGGGCAGAATATTGGAGAGAAATTGCTCTACATGGTTTTTCTCTATCCATACACATCTGTCTGAACTTTCTACAGAAACTAATCATATGAGATCTGAGCAGATAGTTCTCTCCCCTTCTTTCATT